TATGTACAAGTTTGAATGAAATCCATCCATAAATGCTGATATTGATGATTTTTTAGCACAAAAATGGCCACCATTTGGCCATTTGAATAGGATAGTCAAACCAATATATCTGTCTATCTATGACATGATGTATTTAAAATTTGAACATAATCAGTGAAAGCAAGTCACAGATATGGCACGAGACCCACATTCATTAAAACAAAATGGCCGCCAGTCGGCCATTTTTAATCTTATCTGAAAAACAAAATTATTTGCATCAAGGTCCCATAATGTCTAATGTATATACCAAGTTTGAACAAAATCCATCTGCAAACAGCCGAGCAATGCTTGATTTTGATGATTTTTAGCACAAACATGGCGGCCATTCGGCCATCTTGAATCAGATTGTAAAACAAAATGATGAGCATCAAGGTCCCATAATGTCTAATGTATATACCAAGTTTGAACAAAATCCATCTGTAAACAGCCGAGAAAATGCTTGATTTTGATGATTTTTAGCACAAAATGGCCGCCATTCGGCCATCTTGAATCAGATTGTAAAACAAAATGATGAGCATCAAGGTCCCATAATGTCTAATGTATATACCAAGTTTGAACAAAATCCATCTGTAAACAGCCGAGAAATGCTTGATTTTGATGATTTTTAGAACAAAAATGGCCGCCATTCGGCCATCTTGAATCAGATCAAGAAACAAATTGACGTGCATATGTATAATATCATGTATGATGTATGTGTGAAGTTTGATTGTGATTGGTCCAGGCATTTCTAAGATACAGGTCCGGACGCACGCACGGACACACGGAGGTCAAAACATAAGTCCCCGTTTTCGGACTGCGTTCGAACGGGGACTAATAACAAAACTTGAGTTGGCCATTTGGAATCAGAACTTGAAATAAACACATATCAATATGTTGGCAATTTGGAATCTGATCTGAAAAACTGAATGATGTACTTCACAGTCCATGTACAATGTATGAGTGAAATCTATCTCTGGATCTGGGATGGCAGCAATGCTCTATTTTGATGCATTTGGTCTTGAATTGAATCACCAAACTAATACATGGTGTTTGAACATCATCATCCGTCAACACACGTCATGCCAGACATGTGGCTCTGAAACTATTTATTGAAACAGAATGGCTGCTAAAGACCCTGATAACACATGTCTGTATATAAGCTGCATATATTTACATACATACAATGTTGGCAGTTAGTAGCCACACCTGCATAATTCTTCCCATTGTGCTTAGCTTTTAACACTACTACCGGTATTATCAGATTATTATAGTATTAGTAATCTGTCAACAACCATCGAGTATAGCAGATAATATTTGGTAATCTTTGTCCTAAGTAACTACGGTATTAAAATTGTTAGACGTTTCTGCCATTGGCTCATTATCAATATATCATATTTATCGGCATATTTATTGGCAATGATTTTTGTTCCACAAACAGAATTTGTTGTTACTTAATAGGGCGTCCTGTTTGATATGGGACTCATAGCGTCATATACAATGCATGTAAAATACATTGTTTATTTACATAAAATTCAAACACACGCTGCAAGACGACCACCGCGCTTTAAACAATACTTAGATGAACAATCTGTTTTTTAAACCCATATTGAATTTTAATGGTACAGGTGGTAACTGCTTGTTATCTGAACATTTGATGAAAACATCCAATACAATAATTGTAATAGATATTCTTTTAAAGAAACTAAACAATTTTCATATTACTTTACTGTTGTACCTATAATAAGATGCACCCCCCCCGTCACATGCATGCATACATATACATGCACACAAAATCCAACACACCCAAAAATAAAAGAATCATGGTGGAATAGAAACATACACTTAAAATTATGCTTTGCAAATTCAAGATCTCAGCAGAATATCAACCTCCTTTCAAGTTCAATAGTTGTAATGTACAAGGTTATATGCTATTGCACTTAGTTTTTAAGCAGCAAATATGGCCTTGTTCACGATGTACTTTTTCAATGTCAATACTGAATTCTAATATGTCATAAATTAGCCAACACATAGCTTAGATGCATACAGAATAGCTTACCCTCAATAAAAACAAAATATATGTTCAAAACATTTCTAGAAAAAAAAATTTCCATTTTTTTTATACCGGTAATTATATTAATAATCATGTGCAATAATTATGTGTACAAGTATATGGAATGATATACACATCATTAATCAGAAAGAAGGGTAAGCTTGGTGTTTAGGGCATGTATCAAAGAAGAAGCAAACAAATGATAAACTGTCAAAATAAGTTGGAAATTATAAATGTACTTTTTATGACGACTGTTAAGGAATAAAAAAAATAACCATAAATATGTCTCATGCAATAAGTAAGAAAAGCGTATCATATATTACTTTAAAAATACAATTATAGTTTGCCGATTCCCAGATGACCATTGCCTGCTAACATGCCGGTTCTGTATACTGGAGTTTTCTAGTCCTAAAGCTATGTCCAGACACTATTAACAAAATATACAGTTTTGATATATTAAATTTCTGATAAATTATAGTATATAAAATAATTGGTGACATTTGACCAATGCAAAGTACAGGTGGAATAATTACAGAAAGCTAAAGGTATACAACATTGTCTGTTGTGACAACAATCCTATGTTGCAATTCACATCAAAGCAATGCAAAAAGGAACCTGAATATTTGAATTGAATGATTAAAATACAACTATTTGATATTATAACTGTAAATAGCATGAGTGTTTTTGTCTGCAACATCATTACTACCACTTAGTACTAACATAAAAAAAATGTGAAGTTCATGCCTGCAGTATTGACTTGAAAGTACATGAGCCATGGGAAGTACATGTATCTATGACAAGTCACTATATGTGTATGAACCACGCATACTGTCATTGAGCCAAAGAATGAAAATAACTAAGTTAGAATGGAAATAAATTGGATGGTGTCTAAGAATGTAAAAATCAATTAAACATTGTATAAGCATGTCACAAGCAAAAATACAGTTTTTGGCATTACATGTAATAATGATGCACACCCAATAACATGCACATGTAACAGGAAACAAAATACATAAATGTACTAGAAGACATGATTAGAGAGTGGTGAACTGGACTGATGCACCAATACAGCAGATACATGCATAATGATAGTTATCACAAATGTTAAGTATCAGACCAGAACACAATGAATTTATAATCACCATTAAATAATAATAAAACCATAAATCAAGGACTTTGATCATTGTCCTGTGAATAGTTCTTTACCGCTTTCAGTAGATTCAGGATTCAGTTGTAAAGCATTTGTAGCTAACTGTCCAACAGACAATGGTTCACATGTTTCGGCAGGAGTCTGTGTGCTCATACTATTTGGATGTTTCTCAAGTACTGGCTTAACATTGAGTGTAGATGGGACATCATGCTGTACCAAAGCTTTTCCATCATGTAATGGTGGAGTAGATGCTACATTACCATTAAAGTGTTGATTATTGATGTCTCCACTTGTTTCACTCATAGCTTCTTCTTCTTGTTCTTGGTCATCACCTCGATATACATGATACCTAGATGTAATATTGTCACATAATTAGCTCAAACTATATTTACAATCTTACTGTACATGGTGGTACAATTATTTCCTGGACAAAATCACCAATCAAGTGTAGTCAGCCGTCAACATTGTCGTGGAGATGCAACTCATTCTCCTTACCAGAGTTTCTTGTGGTTAGAGCACCAAAAGTATCTCTGCCAGCACACACCTACATTTTGTGGTGAAACACTTATTCTTGAAGTGTTTTTGTTATTAGAGGGCTCTTGTATTGATTTTTTCTTACTTGAAAACAAATTTTAAAATGTATTATTGATAGCCGATACTGATTTTTTTATAAATGCAAAATAAAAGGGTGAAATAGTTACAATTTACAAAAGAAAATAATTTCATCATTTCGTTATTGTTAATGACACATTTTCCGTCCAAAATTTTATGATCTGACATATCAATTTGATGCTGATGAAGTCATTGAGATTAGATTGAAACCATTGGAGATGGATTTGTAAAAAATTATGATTTAGTGCTTTTACACGAGAATTGGACATTGGGCAGTCATATTGAATCAAATTACAACAAGCCATGCATGGGACAGTCCCTGTTAGTTATCAAATTTAAGATATATAGTTTTGTTTATAGTAATATAGCTGGAATATAACCGTGTCAGGAATATGATTTTTTAACATTAAAATGATTGACATTTGTATCTGATCGTCAAACAAGTACTTGTCCATATTGAGAGATATTGATCTGGAACAGCATTCAAAATCAGCCATTTTGAATACATGTATATATATAACATGATGTATAACGAATATATAAAATTTGAATATAATCAGTCAAAGCATTTAAGAAATATAGCTCTAGAAGACCAATCATTAAAACAATCTGAATCCAATCTGAAAAATAAAATGACGTGCATCAGGAACCTGTTATGTCTAATGTATGTACCAAGGTTTAATGAAATCCATCCATAAATGCCAGCAATGCCATTTTGAATAGAATTGTCAAACCAATATATCTGTTTATCTATGACATGATGTATAATGAATATGTAAAATTTGAACATAATCGGTGAAAGCTAGTCAGATATGAACGAAAACCACATTCATTAAAACAAAATGGCCGCCAGTCTGCCATTTTGAATCTTATCTGAAAAACAAAATTATTTGCATCAAGGTCTCATAATGTCTAATGTATATACCAAGTTTGAACAAAACCCATCTGTAAACAGCCGAGAAATGCTTGATTTTTAGGATTTTTTAGCACAAAAATGGCCGCCATTCGGCCATCTTGAATCAGATCGTAAAACAAAATGATGTGCATCAAGGTCCTATAATGTCTAATGTATATACTAAGTTTGAACAAAATCCATCTGGAAACAGCAGAGAAATGCTTGATTTCAATGATTTTTAGCACAAAAATGGCCGCCATTCGGCCATTTTTAATAGAATCGTCAAACCAATATATGTGTACAATGTATATCTATGACATGATCTATATATAATGAATATTTAAAATTTGAACATAATCAGTCAAAGCACGTCAGAGATATGGCACTAGAACCACATTCATTAAAACAAAACGGCCGCCAGTCAGCCATTTTGAATCTTATCTGAAAAACAAAATGATGTGCATCAAGGTCCTATAATGTCTAATATCCAGGCATTTCTAAGATACAGGTCCGGACGCACGCAGGGAGGTCAAAACATAAGTCCCTGTTTTCGGACTGCGTCCGAATGGGAACTAAAAAATAATGCTGATGTATCTATTGGTGCACTGTCTTTGTACAAAATTTAAACAGAAATGTTCATTGCATTCATGGGAAAGTAGGCATGGGTATCATGAAAAAAAAAAAAATGGCCACGAGTCAGCCATATTAGTTTGAATCACAGAAAAAATATGACATGCAACTATAACCCAATATGTATCACCATACCAGCTTTGATCCAAATCGGCCTAGTCATCTCTGAGAAACAACTCCGGACATGTAAACAAGCAGCCTATCGGCTGAGGTAGCTCCGCTGTTAGCAATGCACATTTCAATTAAAGAACTGAAGACATCAGTAGAAAATGAACAATATGTATAGTATCAAAGCAATCGGACTTACAGTTTTTAACAAGTCGAAAAAATCACTTACTACCAAAAATGACAAAAATATTCAAGAATTGAAGGTATCATCATGAAATGAACAAATCGGAGAAAGGTCTACATGTAGTATCTATATATGTAATATCAAAGCAATTGAACTGTTGGTTTTTAACAAGAAGTCGAAAATATCACTTTTTACCAAAAATGACAAAAATATTCACCAAAATTAGAGAATTGAAGATATCATCACAAAATGAACAAATCTGAGAAAGATCTACATGTAGTATCTATACATGTAATATCAAAGCCATTGGACTTGCGGTTTTTAACAAGAAGTCGAAAATATCACTTTTTACAACAAGCAGCCTGTCGGCTGAGATAGCTCCGCTGTTAGCAATGCACATTTCAATTAAAGAACAGAAGATATCATTAGAAAATGAACAATATGCATAGTATCAATGCAATGGGACTTGCTGTTTTCAACAAGAATTCAAAAATATAATTTTTAACCATAAATGATTGTGGTTTTTAACAAGAAGTCGAAAATATCACTTTTTACCAAAAATGA